AAGTTTTAATTCATGGCATTGGATTTTATTATTTTTCACTTTTAGTAAATTATTTTAAATTATTTTGTGTGATTTTTTTTCTAGTGAGCTAAAAGTTTATTAAGATGGAATTTTAGCCAGAGTTGAAAATTTTTTTCGTAATCGTAATTCATAATTTATAAAAAAATAATTTAAATTAATTAAAAAATCAAATATTAATAATAATTGATGCTTCACCCATAATCCTTCAAAGTCCTCCCTCTTATTTCTCTGATATACTTCACATCCCAATTAATTTTCTGATGTCACTCATAATCCTCTTAATCCTCCGAAATCTCCTCAATCAATCATGAGGAATCATCTTCCCAGATTTAAGGGTCTCTTAATCTCAAATCACTTTTCTGCGCCGCAGGCAAAAATTTTGAGAATTTTGGAAAGCCTTAGGAGAAAAAATTCAATTGTTAGAAGCGGAGGTTTTAAGATATTACTTCAATTTTAAGATATTAAAAAAATATGTTTACAAATTTAAAACCAAAGTTTAAAAACATTTTTGAAAAATATTTCCCAATCATGGATTCGAACCAAGCCAAAAAAATATTAGAGTGAATGAAGCACGACGTTTAAACCACTTAACCACGGCCAAATAAACGGACCATTGAGAAAATATAAATATTTTTACCCTTTTCCTTAAAAAATTTACTAGCAAAATATGTACATTCTCGTCATTCTTAATTTTTCTCGACATTTTCGTAATCGTAATTCGTAACTCATAAAACGCCGTAATTCGCAATTACGACTCAACTCTGATTCTAGCCTACCTTGACTTGCAAGGATTTTAAGGCGAATTGGAATTGGGGTTATATAGGAGGATAAAGTATATGAGTGAATTTGAATGATGCCGGGGATATTGTGGAGATAAAAAGATACCGGGAATCTGGGCCCCAGTCTAGGTTTTTCTGAGCCGATCCATGATTGCATAATATTGGTATTCAGATTAAAGATTTCCCCTTTTAGCTCCTTAGGTGAAAATTTTGATAATTTTGGAAGGCCAGATTTCTTCCATTATTTCCTCGGGTCGAGCATATTCTTTGCGTTTTTTGCGTTAATTTCGTCATAAATAACAAAAGGGCAATGCGCCGCCTTTTGAAAACAGCTTGTTTTTATAAAGTGCATATTTACTAGAGTTTCACCGGAAGTTCCGGTTCCGGTTCCGGTTCCGGAAAGTTCCGGTGTTTTTTTGGTTCCGGTTCCGGTACCGGGAACCGGAACTCAAATTGGTTCCGGTTCCGGTTCCGGCTCCGGTTTTCAAATCGGTTCCGGGCAAACCGGAACTTTTTTACACCCCTAAAGATTGATTTTTTTAGAAAAATTAATAAACTACTCGTACTCTCATGCTTGTGTATTAAAAAAAATCGAAAGAAATATGTTTATTTTCTGTCAATTGACCTAATATAAACGGGTGGCCGAGTGGTTAAGGTGTTAGACTTCACCCTTGGCGTGAATGATTTAAATTTGGGTTCGCTTCCGAGGCATAGGACAATTAATTTGCATGTTTTTCTTTCCTTAAAAACTTATTTTATAAGTTTATAATTTTGTTTTTAAAATTATTTTATTTTTACATGGAGTAATTGTGGTTTTTTGGCCCTCTAAATTTCTTAAAATTTTTAGTTTGACTTATAAATAGTGAATTTTTTTGCTTATGGCCTTCATAAATTTTCAAAAATTTCGCCTGCGGCGCTGAAAAGGGAAGAAATTTGGCTTCTTGTCCTCACAGATTCTCAAAAATTTTCGCCTGCGGCGCTTAAAAAGAAGTTGAATGTTATATCGGAGGATTATAATCCACAAATAGCACTTAACGACGACAAATTTTCGGCTCGGTTTTGGTTAACCAAGTTTCTATTCGGTTAGACGGTTCGGTTTCGGTTAACCGAAAATTTTGGCGAAACCATCAACCCAAATCAAAATGCAAATTTTTTAAAATTTGCTAGCAAAAATTTTTTTTAAAGTTCCGGTTCCGGTTCCGGGCCGGAACTTAGAAAAGTTCCGGTTCCGGTTCCGGGAACCGGAACTTAAATTGGATCCGGTTCCGGTTCCGGTCAAAATTTCGGTTCCGGTGAAACACTAATATTTACGTGATATGGCATTTTTAAAATAAAAGATAAATATAAATGTACATATTTTTACAATAATATACACATAAAAGCCGCTTTGAATCATGCGACAAAAAATAAAATTCAAAACCACGAGAGATCTCTTTCACAATAATTTCTCTATCGCATTTGTTGATTTTTAGTAATTTTACTTAAAAAAATTTTTTTTTGTTAATTTAAATAAAATGAATATTATTTATATATTTTTTATTTTATTTATAATTTATTTTGAAAATTATAACATTTTGGCAAATGATGAAAACATCAACGTAAAAATTAATTCAGATTGGTTAGAAAAAAGAGAATATAATTATTTAAAAATTAAAGATCCAGAAGAACGTTTTTATTTCAAAAATTTAATTGGAAAATATTTAAAAACAAAAGAAGATATAAATTATTATTCTGTATATAGAAAAGTGAATTATTATTCACCAGAAATAGAAATTACTAAAAATAAAATTGTTGAAGAATTAATTAGTCCATTACCAAAACAAGTAACATAACAAAAATTTTCTACCTTACAAAAATTTTCTACCTTGAAAATTTCCAAAATCCGAGCCGAAACCGAAATTTTCTTGCAAATTATTTCCATAAAAGAAAGAACTCTGGCTTCTTGGCTTTACAAAATCCCCAAAATTTTTGCCTGCGGCGCTAAGGGTTAATTTCCCTAAATCGGGAATTCCCGACCCGAAAAACGTCGGGAATTCCCGATTTTCGGAAATTTCGTGAATTTTGTTGGTTTTTGATAGTGAGTCGATTTTGACATCGATTTGAGTGAATAGGAAGGATATAGAGGAATTCGAGCGAATTGTGAGGATATCGGGGGATTAACGATAGAGTAATTAGGATATGCATGGATAAAAGTGGGGGGGGGGGGGGATATCGATGGATTAATTGTTCAACGAATATTAATAAGACATTGTTGAATTAATTAAGCGGAGGTATATTGAGGGATTAAGGAGCCATCGGGGGATTAAGGGAGACATAGAGGTATTAAGGAGACATAATGGGATTAAAGGAGACATAAAGTGATTAAGTGAGACATAGAGGCCGCAGGCGAAAATTTTGAAGGCTAAGATGGCAGATTTCTTCCTTTTTCGGCGCTGCAGGCGAAAAAAATTGCGTAATTTTTAATTATTAAAAACATATTTAAGGTAATTGAAAGAAAATTAACTAAATTCGAATGTGAAATCAGCATTTTAGAAAATAATAAGCATATAAATTATATAGAAACAAAATCCAAAATTACACCAAAAGAAAAAATAAAAATTCACAAAGAAGAATTGAAAAACAATTATTGGACATTAATTAATTTAAAAGCATATAAAATTGAATTATTGGAAAAATACATTAAAATAGAGGAAATTGAAGATGAAAAATTGGAAATTAAACAACAAATTGAAAATTTAAAAGAAGGGATTAGATTGGAAGGTAATTTGAATGTTGTGACTTTTAGTGAGGTCGGTTCGATTCTCAGGACCAAGTCATTTGACCAAGTCGCTTGGTCATTCGAAGCGACTCAGGAACCAATTCGCTTTACATATAAAATTTCGTTTAAATAAAATTTAAAATTTAATAGGCGGAGAGCTACTTGCCTTGACAAAATATGTTTGTTTTTAACCAGAATTCATATTAAATTTAAAAAAAATTTTAGGAAATTAAATTTAAAAAATTAATTTATGGAATACCACCACATACTAACTATGATATTACTGAATTATCTAAAGAATTTGATCTTACAGAAGAGCAAATGCGTGTATGTTTTTGTTAAAAATTAATTTAATAAAATTTCAAAATAATTTTCAGAAAATGATCAAAGTATGTATATATTTTAGTCCTCCTTATCCTCCCAAATCTCTTTTCCCTCTTATTATCCTCCCTATCCATGATGTGGACCTCGATTATCATTTTTCTAAAAATTAAAAATTATCGAGTCAAATACAATAAAGCCCATAAAACATAAAAAATATTTTTTTAAATCAGTTCCTTGACCATATATAATTTTTAGAATAAAATATGAAACAAAGAAAGCCCCTATTAAAGCACTAGGACCTCGATAATACAATCATGATAACACGTCGCTTTCTGCATACGTAAAGTAAATTCGGTCCCGAGGGTTTCAGATTATCGAGATCCCACTATATTCGATTTTAAATAAAAGAACACGAGAAGTAGGTACAGAGCAAATGGAATAAAATTGAAAACAATCAAAGCAAATTTTAATAAAATAAAGGAAGTTGACCCAACAAGAAATTCAGGTGTATTTTTAACTATAACGTAACCCCACTATCATTTGAACTGATCCGGAAAACTATAATTGTTATTTTCAGTTAAAATATATAATGTTAGTAGTAAATGGTCAGGCACCGTCGTTGCGCGGTAAAATTTCGCGCAACTAATTCAAAGGTATTGAAGGAGTTGGGAGGGGAGGGGTCCGAGAGCGGTTAGCCTGTGCCTAAAGGAGGGGTTGAGTGGTCAAACCTGTTTAGGGAGATGGGTGGGGAGGGGTCCGTGGTCAATTAACCGGTGTCTATGAGAGGGTTTGAGTGGACAACGCAATTGAGGGAGAGGTCCTATAGAGGTGTTGATCAAAAGGGAGTTGTATGAGGTAAACCCTCTCTAATAAAAGGGCACATTATTAATAATATAAGAATTTAATTAGTTTAATTAATTAAATTTTAATACTACGTCCGGGAACAATTAAACTGACTTTGAGCGGAGTTTAATAAGTAGGATTATATTAATGATATAATTTTATTATTAATTCGTAAAAATGGGCGGAGTTTCAATTAGATATCTTTTAAAAATGAAATCCGTTAAATTTGAGTAATCATTCTTAAATAATATATCAAAACTATAAACTTAAACCAAATGGCTATTAATATAGGAGATAAAAGATCTATTGCCGAAATAATAACTCCAGAGATTGAATTCAACGTCAACACTAATGGAATAACACTTCAAGCTAAATCCAGAATGAGTACTCCCCGCTTACTCCCATTTGACCAATGTGGACGATGTCGAGAGTGCAAATCAATTGAAGTTGAAATAGACTTCGTAGTGACCAAAGAAGGAGTGACGGTTTACTGTAATCGAATCAAAGGGAACCGATTTGTTCCCTTTGATACAATTTATGACATGCCTGGGCATTGTTTTTTTAGGGTATATTATATTTGTTTATTAATTTTAATTATTATTTAGCTCAAGAACAAAGGCCGCGTACTCAATATTCCTTTTGGTGATCGAAACTGCGTTGATCAGAAGAGACCTGTGATTCAATCGTTGTCAAGTTATCCGAATAAAACAATTGAAAAAGAAAATGAACCAAATGTAGAGCAAGAACATAAACAAGTTATAATTAACTCAAGTATGGATCTGGATGTCATTGATAAACAATTAGTAACAACAAATGAAGTGACACAAGAGAAGATCAAGACAATAGAGGAAGACTTGGATGATTTTTTCAAATCGATTGGTGATGAAAAGAAAGTCGTAAAGCGAAGTGTTAGTAATGAAGAAAAAATAAATGAACCATTTTACAATGATACGATTGATCCTAATACTCAAAAATTTACAGAAATTGTAAACCCAAATTCAATTTAATATATATGTAATTATTTTAAATAATAAAAATGTTAACTAATAATAAAATTTTGAATAAAAATTTAAAGTTTAAATTACCATTTGGAATGATCATCTCTGGGCCTAGCTCTTCAGGTAAAAGTACATTCCTTACCAAACTAATTTCTCAGGCCTTTGATTTAATTGACCCTAAACCTATTAATATACTCTATTGTTATGGAGAGATGAGTTCAATTGTTCCAGTACTTCAACGTTCAGGTATTAATGTATACGGAGGTGTCCCGACTGAGGAAATGATAAAGCATCATCCTAAACCATTATTGTTGATTTTAGATGATTTATTGTTTACAATTGATGAGAAATATCTATCCGAGTTATTCACTAAGAAATCCCATCATCAAAATTTCGCAATTATTTTTGTTACGCAAAATTTGTTTGAAAAGAAGATAAAAGTAGCCAGACAAAATGCACAATATCTTATACTTATGAGATCACCGAATTCAGCCTTAAGTGTCAGAAACATTGGAACACAACTCTTTCCAAGACAATTGGATTTTTTCTTGGATGCGTATAGGCAGGCGACAAATGAACCTTATGGATATTTACTAATTGATATGCATGCCTCCTCAGATCCTATATTAAGGTTAAGATCAAACATATTTACAGATGACAACGAAAAATTAATTTTCATTCCAAAAAATGGAACATAATAATTCAAAAATTAGTCAACTTGTTAAAGAGAATATAAAATTTTTAAAAACTCTAGCTTATACTAATTCAGAAAGAAAAAAGAAAAAATTATTAAAAAAGGCGACAAGAGAACAATTGCTTTCTATAGCGGAAATTTGTATTAATATAGTTAAATCACGATTCAAATTAACTACTCGTCAGAGAAAACGTTTGATACCTCACGCAGATTTCGTACGTAAATTAAGTCGTGCAAGAAGTGAACGAGGTGCTCGCAAAATATTGAGACAAAAGGGCAGTGGAGTGGGCTCATTATTCGCAGCTCTATTAACTCCAATAATTATAGAAGCAGGGCGATATTTACTAAGTGAAAAATAATAAAATAGTGATGGCCAATAAACTTATTCTTGTCCCAGAGGATTTATATAGAGGTCTTACGTCAACAATTACGTCAGCAGGTGAACCAAATCTCGATTCAATTAAACGTGTATTAGACAATACTAGGCGAAGAAGAGAAAGTAAAGATGCCAAGAATGTTAACTATAATCAAGAATTGAGGAGATATCTCAATATGCGAAATGAAAGAGAAAATAAACCAATAAAAGTTGAAGTAGTTGACAAATCTAAAGGTGTTCTTTTACCCAAAACTAATTCTCGACCAGCAACCTATATATCTATGGGGGATGATGATCTTGGAAACGATGATGATAATGACTTTTGGATGGGTGATGATTTCTCATTTACAACACAACAACCTAAACCACCACCTCCTATCCCACCTCATGGACGAAATATTAAAATTAAACCCCCTTCCCCACCACCGCCACCAGTTCCAACTCGGAGTAAAATCAAAAAAGAAAAGACACCTTTAATTTTCACTCGAAATCCTAAAAGAAAAAGGGTTGAAGAGGATATACATGGAAAAAGAAAATTAATAAAACCTAAAAACGAGCAAAATGATTATGAAACTAAGGAAGAGATTGAAAAAAAGAATACTAGGAAATTAAAAAATAAAGTAAAAGAAGAGAGGGAAGATAAACAATATTTAGAAAGTATTAGAGAGAGAAATGAAAAAAAAAGACAACACATATTAAGGAGGGAAGATATTAAAAAATTAAGAGTACCGTATATGCCTAGTGATCTCGTTAATAGATCAATAAAAAGTGAAAATGTCAGCGAATCGATAAACGCTCCGCTTGTTTCACAAAATGAAGAAGCAAGCGAGAATGTAATAAGTCCAATAATTAAAAGAGAAAATACTGAAGAAATACCAGAGAAAAAAGTAATCAAAAAAAGAAAATTACAGTATATTGAAGAAGGATACCCGTCAGTTCCATTAAAAAAGCGAAAAATTAAAATTATTAATAATTGGGCACAAAGGAGACCTTCAAAAATTGATATCCAACGAAAGATCTGGGCACAGCGAAAACCATCACAGTCAGATATTAATAGATTTAAACCAGGACTCTGGTAATAATACTAATGGCGGATCCTAAAAAACTACTTGAAAAACTTTATAATGATCCAGAAAACCCTTCAGCATATGCAGGTGTTGATAGTTTATGGAGAGAAGCAAAGAAAACATATAAAAATATTCCAAGGCATGTGATTGAAAATTTTTTAGAAGGGCACCGTACCTATACCCTCATGCGCCCTAAAAGGATTCATTTTCCCAGAAGTAAAACAATAGCAGCTGGTTTTATGACTGATCTTCAAGTTGATTTGGCCGACATGCAAGCGCTTTCTAGACACAATAAAGGCAATCGATATATTCTTGTGGGAATTGATGTATTATCAAAACGTCTATTTACAATACCTCTTAAAACCAAGAAAGGAGAAGAAATGGTAAAGGCATTCCAGGATTTGATTAATAAAATGCCTATGAAACCACATAGAATTTTTTCAGATAAAGGCACAGAGTTTAAAAATAACCAATTAAAGGAATTTTTTGTGAAGGAGGATATTCAAAAGCTTGAAGCAAATCATTCCACAGTAAAAGCTTCTATAGCAGAGAGATCAATTAGAAATATTAAGCAACGTTTATATAGATATTTCGCGCAGAAAAAAACATTGAAATGGATAGATGTTCTTGAAAAAATTGTAGACGGAATAAATCATTCAATATCCAGAGTACATGGAATGCGTCCAATCGATATAAATTTTAAAAATGCTCAAACTGTATGGAAAACGATTTATGGCAATATTTTTTCAAAAATCAGAAATGTTAAATCAAAATTTAACAAGGGAGATTATGTTCGAATGAGTCGAGATAAAGGACATTTCGAGAAAGGATATTTACCAAACTGGGGAGATGAGATATTAGAGGTTGATGACGTAAAGACTACTATATACCCTAATACATACAAGATAAAAGATGATAAAGGTGATAAATTCAAAGGATCTTTCTATAAAGAGGAGTTGGCAAAAGTAAGGAAAAATAACGATACTGAATACCGTATTGAGAAGATATTACGTAAAAGAAAGAAGGATGACGGAACTAAAGAACTATTAGTAAAATTCATCGGATATCCTGAAGCAGAATGGATTCATGAATCACAATTAGTATAAAAGTATTCATTTTCATTTTTTGTAAAAATTTTTTAAATTTAAATACAAATGTCAAATACATTTTTTATTCATTTACCTAGTAATGTCCCTAATTATTCCATAAATAAACCAAATAAGTTTCGTGTTCAATTGCCAAAGCCTATTCACTTCAATGGAAATTGGGTGTGTGGATTACATAGCATAACCTACCCCTATTCATGGCCATCAACTATTGGTACATTGGATGAACAATGGTTAAAAATACATTTCACTGATGATCTTGGACAGAAAGGTGCTTTAAGAATACCCATACCTAAAGCTTCACACACTAAAGTTGAAAAATTACGTGATTTTTTGAATGCAACACTTGAACATCAGGCTAAGGCAATCGATTTGGTCTTCGATCCTGATAGTTCAAAGAACAAATCTGTTGTCTCACCTCCAAGACTGGATAGAAGGAAGCGGGATCTCGAATCGACTCCTAGTATAAATAATTTACAATCACCTCCTAAAGCATCACCACCAATATCACCTCCAAGAATAGATAGAAAAAGGAAGCGTGATCTCCAAACTCCTCCAAGGATCGATGATTTACCCAAGTCACAACCAAAAATAAATATAGTACCAAAAACACCTCCAAAAATATCACCACCAAGAGTTAATAAACCGTCAAATATAGAGAAAAATAAGATTATAGATATAAAGGAAAAAGACCATGTTAGAGAAAAAGATAAGGCAACTGAGAAAAAGATACCAGAGAATGAACCATTGAACGATAGACAAAAGAAATCAGGAGGAGTTCTAAAACAGACACAAGATACCAACCAAACATCAGCTTCTCCGATAGAAATAAATGAAGAAGAGAATAGACAAAAGACCACGAGTACGCCAGCAATTAATCCTCTATTTGCTTTAGGGTTAGCAGATACTAAAAATACTAATACAACAGTAATAAAAGATAATGTCAACGAGATCACTATTGAAGAAGACAAAGAGAATAATGATAATGTCGATACTAATAAATTTTCTTTGTGGAGGGGAGGTGTTCGTCTAAATGGTAACCTGACACTTTTGAAAAGTATGATCAATTCTATTACGTTTGAGTACAACGTTGATTTTGGAAGATTCTTTCTAAAAATTAATCATTCAAATATTGATTATATATCATTATCAACACAATTGTGCTATGTTATTGGATTTGAAAATCCCCAAATAATTAAAAATAAAGACGTTGCAAAGTATGGAAGTGACCTAAGAGGAGGTTTTTCGAGCTTCGGCGTGTATGTAAAAGGACTCACTGAAAAGATGATTATTGGTGATTCACTCAGTTCGTTGCTGCGAGTGGTTTCCATTTCTGGTGCTACCCCTGGAGAGTATAATGAAAAAATTTATGATACACCAATTTACTCAAGAGTTCTTCCTAAGGAAATTAATGATATAGAAGTTGAACTTAGAACATTAGACAATGGACGTTTAGTACCGTTTTCCTATGGAACAGTACTCATAGTGTTAATTTTTAAAAAAGTAATAAATTTTTAATAATATATAAATAAATTAATTCATATTATATTCATCATTTTAAATTATTAATAAAATTTTTAAAAAATGGTACATATTATATTTGATACGACAAAAGTAGGATATGATGACTTTATTCAAAGTATTCAAAAAGGTGGTGGTCTCGAGAATTTAAGCGAAAGTACCTATACATACTTCAAAGGGGCGCCTCCCTTCCAAAGAGGATACGGTATTCAAAGTGGTGCGGGAATTGGTGATGTATTTAGAGGACTTTGGCGATTCTTCCTTCCAATCATGAAACGTGTTGGCACTAGTGTATCCCAAGAGGCATTAAACACTGGCCAAAGAGTGTTAGATAGAGTCAATCAAGGAGAGAGTATAAAAAGCGCATTTACAAGTGAGGGAAGAAAAGGAATTGATACGATACTTGATAAAGGTGGTCTATCCAAACAATTTGGAACAGGACGTGGAAGAAGTAGTATAAAAGGAGGAAGAAATTCATTAATAAATCAACATAAAACAATTATTAATAAAATTATAAGAAAACCTAAAGTTTCCAAAAAAAGAATTAGGTCAGACGCATTTGGTTTATATTAATTAAAATGGCATTTCATAAGATAGACAACGATAGTATTAATTCAATTACTAATGCCTTAGATTTTTTTCAAATCCCACCAACGAATGTTAGCATTTCATCAGCTAAAGTATATGAGATATTGACTAGTAATCCTTTGACAGATACTCCTTATCATTTTAAAATACATTCAAGTCAGAATTTCATCGATCTCTCCAAGTGTTATATCTTATCAGAATTTCGGATACGAAAAGAAGAAAATGGTCAACTAGTAAATTTAGCTCCAAATGATAATGTTGCACCTATCCAGCTTATTGGTTTGACTTTCATAAATAATATGCGGATAACTATTAACGGCAGAGAAATATTTAATTCAAACTCTTTATATGCTTACAAAACCTATCTTTCACATGAATTTTCATATCCAACTACATCCAAAAATTCACATTTAAATTCAGCTGGATATTACGGTAATAATGAGTTAACTCTTGAGGCAGGATCAGGATTTGCTACGAGAAAAGCATTGTTTACATCAAGTAGGACAACTCAGTTTCTATCAAAAATAGACGCTGATCTATTTAATCAACCTCTTTATCTAGTTAATCATTGTGAAGTAGATATTGAAATAATACCCAATGAAACAAATTTTGTTTTAATTGGTCAACGAGGAACGAGATATCACTTTGAGATTCTCAATTGTAAACTTTACGTGAAGAAAGTTGACTTAATGGATGGATTGGCACTGGATATAGCACGAAAACTTGAAACAAATCCAGCTCGGTATGCTATTAGGAAAACAATGATGAAATCACTATTTATTAGTCCTGGACGATATGAATTTAACGCAAATCTATTTATGGATCAAATACCTCGTCGAATTACTCTAGGATTAGTAGCTAACGCGGATTATGTAGGAAATATATCGAGAAGTCCATTCAATTTTCAACCCTTTAATGTTAGAGAAATAAGTATTGTAGCCAATGGAAGAAACTATCCTCAGGCTCCTTATGATTTAGATTACCCCAATGGAAAATTTGCTCGAGCATTTAGTGATATGAATGAGGCAATTGGATTTAATAATTCAATGGAAAGTAATGGAATTAGTTTACTCCAATTTGGAAACACACATTGTGTGTATATATTCAACATGACGAACAGTGGAGATGATCATGGCGGTCTCTTTGATTTAATTAGAAATGGAACTACAGCTGTAAACATTAAATTTAGTAATCCAGTACCAGACGGAGGGTTGATGTTAATAGTGATGGGTGAAGCGGATTCACTACTTATGCTAGATAAGAATCGAACAATTTCTAGTGATACCACAATTTAGTATTTAAACCCATAAAAATTTTAAATTGCATAATTTGATATAATCATAATTTTACATAATCTAATCATAATTTATTTAATTAATTAATTATTACATTTAATATGTATTTTAAAATATTATTATTAATAAATATTTTAACAAATGTATCAACATATAATATTAAACATCAGGATTTGCCCGAGTATTCAGAATATTTGCGTCAAAATCTATCAAATTTAAAAGAAAAAATTAATATAAGACAGTCCCCCATTTCTTTTCCTCAATTTACGGCACTTAGTTTTTGTACAGAACCAAAAAATGATTTTGAAAATGTTTATTGCTGGGTCATGCTTGTAATTTATATATTAATGATTACTAGCCTTGTAATTTACCAAGTCCGCTCAATTATATGGTTCAAAGTCAAACTCCCGAGACAACAATTACAAAATGTAGTGTAACCTATAATTAACAATTTTATGTTTTATTAAAAACTAAAAATATTACTAAGGTTTTATTTAGTTTTCTTTGTCGGTTATAGATCAACAGAAGTGTCTATAATTAAAATCGTAATATGGACAGCCAACAAATTTCAAAAATACTGCGATCAAATGAAGAGACGGCAAGAGTTTTTAAAGGTTGTTATCCTTGTGATCTTATGCCTAATCCGTCACATTTGAGTTACCCTGCAGCGCTTGTAGTAAACCTAGATCGCCATCAATTAAAAGGGTCACATTGGATAGCAATCTATGCCTATGATAAGAGAAAGGAAGTGATTTACTTTGATAGCCTGGCGCTGCCAGTCAACTCAATAATAGAGGAAAAATTCTTAAACAAATTCTCGAGGACAATTAAGAACAAGAAATCCTATCAATCTATATTTGAAGATACTTGTGGACATCATTGTATTTGTTTTATTTATTTTTTATCAAAAGGATACTCTTTTAATGACTATATAGAGTATTTGGAAAGATATCCTAAATCATGTGATTTATTAGTGAAAAAATTTATGAATAAAATGATTACTTGTTTTTAAATAATGTTAAATATTTCAAATTTAATATTTATTTCGATATTTTAACAAATAATTTAGTAAAATTAATAAATAGATTAATAATAATATTAATTAAATAATATCAAATAAATTACGTTCATTCAATCATTAAGTCTTCAATTTGCTTTTCGCTTAGTTCCAGTTTGTTTGAATGGAGCGAGAACATCTGATGCACGGCAATTTATATCAATACAGTCGTTGCATAAGTCAATTTTTAATGTGACTCCTGATGCGTAGCGTATAAATTTGTCCTGCATCAAGAACAAACGATTCTGACAAGCTAAAATTTCAAAGTTTAATTAAAATTCTAAATTAAGTTCTCACATGAGCACAGTTTAATTGTCAGGAGATATTTACATCTGATTAATTTCCAAAGATGTTCATTCTTTGTTGTCTTCTTATCTTCAGGTGTCTTCTTATCTTTTGCCTTAGCAAGTTCTTCCTTAGTAAGTGGTTCATAGAACGGTGTATGAATTTCTATTAAATCTTTAGTTGTTTTTGTCGTATCAAGACTCGAATCAATAGCCTCGAGTTTATCCTCTTCTGTGATATTTTGCACTTCTTTTACTTCTTTAGCTGAAGAGGTTTTTCGAGGCATTTTTAAAATATTTAAATGAAGTATTAAATAGTTAAATAATTTTTAGAATGAGTGAATGATTAAGAGGATAACCTTTTATACTCAAAAAGTGGGCGTAACTTGTAGTTTTAAATATGTTTACCAATTAATATTAAACACGCCCCCTATTAATTAATGTATATTAGTTAATATTAAACACGCCCCCTATTAATTATTTTAAATCAAAGATTTTATCAAATCATTTACAAAATTTTTATAACCACATCATAATTTATTAATAATTAAAAATGGTACTCCTTATTGACGAATTTTCTAAATTATTAAATTGTAAACCCTCGAAACTCCGTGAACGACTTCAGCATCCTAAGGATCGTGAACTAATCCTGGAAAAATTTAAAGGAAAACTAGTTCGAACAACGTATAAAGACAGAAATGAATTCAACAAAACATTTAAAATTGGGGGTTTGAGTGAATATGGTGCAGACAAAATTAATGCATATGGACGTCTGCCACGTCCATTTAATATTAGCGTGACTGCGCATTTTTATTCACGCCACCGCATACGTCTTCATCATCCTTACACACATTGCGTCATTGAGAAATTCAGTGACAAGAAAAGTGGAGCCGAGGATAGATACTACCCCCTCGAATTATTGGAACTTATTGATGAGTCAAAAACTAACCCTTTCAACACCTTTATGCGAGATATCAACAAAGAAAACATCGATGTGAAACTAGAATTAAATGATGAAGTTAAAGATGATAAGGAATTTGAAACATATGCTCGTGCACGAAAAGAATGTAATCAGTTATCTTTTGATACATATTGGTGATAAATTAATAATTTTTCTAATTTTTAAATAATTTCAGCTTCTATTAGCTAATATTGCATTTTACCCCCTAAAATTCCCTTATTTTAATTATTAATTATTTTAAAATTTTATCTTCTTAAATTAATATTTTTAAAAAATTTTTTAAACCATTTGCTATAGGTTAATATTAGCAATTTACCAACTAAAATTCCCTACTTCTAATTATTAATTATTTTAAAATTTAATCTTATTAAATTGATATTTTAAATTAAAAAAAAAATCATTTTCTATAAGTTAATATTGTCAATTTACCCATAAAATTACCTACTTTAAAATTTTAACTATTTTAAAATTTCATCTTCTATAAACATTAATTATTAATTTTTCTATATTTGTTGCTAATAATTTAAATAATAAATTTAATTAAAAATCATAAAAATTATGCAATATAACCAAAATCTAATACAGCGAAATTATCAGGTGAAATGATGCCTTTACCGACATAAGGCTTATAAACTTTCTGCATGGGGACAGAAATTACAGATCCTTTGGTGATGGAGGGACGTATAAAATTGGGATATAATATAGGGATTGGGTCCATATCACAATCTTTTACATATTTTATTACACGTTCCTTGAAGGTTTCATAACAAAGATTTTGCTTCTCAATTACATCATGACTCAAAGTCATCCCACGAACTTTTAGAACATGTTTGTAGTGGTTGTCTGTTGAATTCTTTTTCTTTAATTTTAACCCATATTGTTTTGCCCCTCCGCTACAATATTCAACAATTTCATCATCCGGATACTCGTCAGTCAAGTCTCCCAAGTGTGGACCAGTTTGAAGAGGGTCATCATCCGGATACTCGTCAGTCAAGTCTCCCAAGTGTGGACCAGTTTGAAGAGGGCAATTATTCACAGAATGGGCGAATATAAGTGAATCAGTGTCTAAATAAGGAAATGTTTATATTTCTATCATATAAATTCACCTGTATATAGTAACGTGCAGCCTGGCGTTCTTGCCACCTTTTGCATAGCCCTAAGTAAGTGGATACGCGCAGCTGACGTAGTCCACAAAGAAATGACTACAATTTAAAAATTTTTATAAAAATTTGAAATTTTTCGGACTTACCGATATTACTGCATTCATGCTCCTCCACAAATTCTTTCTTTTCCATATAACTTATCAAGGCTGTGTGATCTGTCAACGTGTCAATCCCAGTCACATCAATTTTATGGTTGTCCAAGTATGATGAAAATTCACAAGGGTCGTCAGTGATCAATGTCTTTGACAACCCGAAATTTCGAAGTGAAAATCTACCCCCTTAAATAATTAAAAAAAATTTTTTTTTGAAATAGAGATTTACAAAGATTGTTCAGGGCAAGCTTAGCCAAAGCTCTTTTGCCTTTGTTTGGATTCATTTTTTCTTTTTCGATATTAATACCAAATAATTATTTACATTCAGTGATAAATTTCTTTTCCAAATCATCATTCCCTTTAATCTTTTTATCGAAGCCCGAAGACTCAATCTTTTGTTTCATGAACTCCGCGATGTAAGGGCGGAATAATTCATCATCACTTTCTTCATATTTTATTACACGATAGACTTTTGTAACGATATATCCTTCGTCTAGAGCCATATTCAATTCCAAAGACGTACAAGTACTAACCCATCCACGCTCAAAATCAGTGTGTGGGCAGCTATAATCCTCCAATACATCCCCATGAGGATATTTCTTCCTATAAATTACTCATATATTTTACGATTTTCTAATATATTTAATCAATTGATTTAAAATTTTTAAATAATAAAAAGTTATTACGCGCAAGTTGAACACAAAGGAAATAACAGCCTTTCATCAACCTTCATAGGTAAAACTGGTACGTCGAGCTTGCGTGGTGGCACAACAAAAACTTTAAGAAGTGATAATTGGTAAATGTTATCTGTTGATTATGACCAATTAACATTTTCATTTAAAACTAACACCTCAGGATGGCCAACAGGATAACGGGTAGTGCAACTTAAAAATTTTTTAGCGAACTATTTATTAATAATCCTACTCATTATTTTAAAATTTCATTTTTAAATATTACTTTAATGTTATCTTTAAAAAATTATTTATTAATTATCAAAAATTATTAAAAATTAATAAAATTATTTAAAATTTATATATTAAAAATTATTTAAAATTTATATATTAAAAATTATTTTATATTAAACATTATTTATATATTAAAAATTAATAAAAATTATTTAAAATTTATATATTAAAAATTATTTTATATTAAACATTATTTATATATTAAAAATTATTTTAAAAAATTTTTAACTTAAAGTAAAAATTTTAAAATTATTTAAAAATAATTTTTAACTAAAAAATTATTTTAATTTTAGTTTTTTTTATTTAAAAAATTTTTTTTAAATAATTTTTAACTTTATCGTTAAAGCTTTAATGTTTTCTTTTATTTTTTATTATTTATTTATTCATTTAAAATTACTTTATATAGGGGTAGAGACTGGTAACATCATAATAGCTGATTTTTTCGGCATTTTTTGGTTTGTAAAAGAGTTTTAACGGCCCAGTTCTTCCTCCGAAAAAACTTTCACGAATATTCAAAGGACCTTCGTCCAAATAATCAGAAAACTTTTTTTTCATATCAATATCGTTTCTTAACATTTCATTAATTTCGCACTCCCAAAAAATTTTAATTTGTTGAACTTTAGATTTAATGAATTCAATTCTTTTATTATCAGATTGTCTGATAAGTCCAGCCGTTTTTCCATTTGGCATTATCATTTCATCGTTGGGGTAATGTTTTGAACAGGCATGCCAAACACATCCATGCACTTCAATGGCTAAATTTTCAGTTTCGACCCAACCATCCAATTTATAGTTACCAACTCTAAATTATATAAAATTTGATAATTATTTATTTAAAATATTTACTTTTTTTCACCCGAGGCAGAATTACAAGTTTGAACCTCAACATTATATTTCTCGCCATACCATTTTAAAAATTTAAGTGCCAGCATGCTTTGATTTTCTGCTGTATCATATCCAAGTTCCGGAACAATTGCAAGCTGATCAGGCTTCAAATGGTTAGCCCGAAAATGGCGCATACACGCCGAGGCAATTGTCATAGAGTCATGAAGAACATCAATTCCTTAAATTATCATATAGTTAATTATTTAAAATTAAATACCTCCACTTCCTTCCCTACATGAAACTTCGTAAAATTCATCGCGGAATTTGACAAGGGCACTCATTAAAATGTCAACATCGTTCATACAATAACTAGCTAATGCTTCATTTAAGTAAAAGCCTCCATTTTTATTTGCTTCATACCAGACATCGAATTCTTTTTTCTTTTCAGGTTTCATTCCTCCACAAAGGTAATCTTCCTTTGGTGGTAGAGTTGACATAATTTTATCATAATTTTCTGGATGATTTGCTAAATACGGAAAAAAAGGTTTCTCTTCTACATCCAGATCAAATGTCGAAACAAGAACGGCCAATGCGTTTGGTAGGAGGTTGAATGAATCGCGGAAAATTACTTCAGGATTTCGATCGGTTTTAGGAACCTTCATTTCATACATTTTATTCCCCTATAATACCATTTTACTAACAAAAATTTTTATTGGCAAACCTTTCTTATCATCGAAGGATTTAACCTTCGAAGAAAAATTTCACGGAAAATTAAAACCATATCAAAACGTCCTCCATTATGGGAAAATACAAATGTTTCATATTTTATAGGCAGTTCGAACAGAATCCAATCCACAAAATTTTCAACAGGGTTACAACAAATAACCTTACAATTATAAATTATTAATACGCTTTAAAAAATAATAATTTAGAGAAATTTAATAAAACATTAAATTAGTAAATTTAATAAAAATTATTAATAGTAAATTATTAATTTACTAAGAATAAAATTAAGTATTGTAATAGTAAATTAAAGAAAATTTTACTAATATTAATAAAATAAAAGATTCAATAATAATTAATTAATCATTTAATTAATACTAAATTAGAGAAATTCAGTAACAATTAATTAAAAGAAAATTAGATATTTAGTAAAATAAAATTAAGTATTATAATAGTAAAATATTGAAATTCAATAAAATATTATTTAATCGTCTAATTAATAGTAAATTCAAGAAATTTAATAAAAAATTCATAGTAAATAGAAATTTATTAAAAATAAAATTAAGTATTGTTAGAGAAATATTAAAAAATAATTATCGAATAAAATTAATTTAATATTAAAAATAAATATTGTAATAATAAAAATAAATAGGGAAAATTTTATTAATATTAGTAAATTAAGAAATTCAATAAAGATTAATTATTTATTTAATTAATAATAAATTAGAGAAAAATTAATTAATTAATATTAATAAATTACAGAAATGCAATAAGAAATTAAATTAATGTTAAATTATAGAAATTTAATAAATAAATTTTAAAAACTAATTTTATTTAGAAAATCAAAAATTTACCTTTTTATCAACATTTGTTTCAAAATAGTTGCGTTGACTGAAGGTAATTGATCTATTATCCCCGCATACTTGGCAAATATTATTAAAATTTTTTAAACTTATTTTCCAATTTCCATTATCAATACAACTAGGACATGCAACTCTTACTCCAATAAAATTAATTTGATGATTTCTTTTATTTAAATCATTCTCAATGTAATCGTGTTGCATTGTTTCGACATCAAAAGATACAATTCTATAAGGCTTTGGTGTTTTAATATTGAGTTGTTTAATAAAACATCCTCTTTTAGGATCGTGATAAGCCTTGCAGTTGAAACAAAAACGCTCATTGCATACGTGTCCCTGTTTTGTAAAATATTTTTAGATCATAATTAAGGAATAGTTCAAATTGAATTTTATTTAAAATTTAATTTTTAATATTCAATACCTTTCTACCATTCCTAGTATTAACTTGAACATCCCAGACTTTTCCACACTGTCTGCATTCTTTGGATTTATTACAGAAATTTGATGAAA